GGAAAGTAAAGAACCACCATAGGTAAATAACCTTTACCTCAATCTGGTCTTGGATGTACAGTTTGCAATTTGAAGGGTCGAGCGATTTTCCCCTTTCTTCAGCAAGTTTCCTTTTCTGCTCTTCAATTTTAGAAAATTCTTGGAGAAGAGGAGAAGCCTCATTGTTAGCTTTAGTTTCCTTCCAATAGTAAATCTGATGACCACCGGTTTTCAATAGCACATAACATTTAATTGTCATTGAAAAGGTCAGAGAGAGAAGAATCATAAGAAGAAGACAATTTCTTATTGGGTATGTGTAGTACAACCACACAATATTTTACAGTGGGAAAAAGAATCAAAATAAAATATGTACCAAATATGCACAATCTACCTAAAATATGAAGATGAATCAAATCAGATCAATCCACTCAATACGAAGATATATACAACTCTCACTATAGAATATATACACAAAAATTTTTAATACAGATTACAGACCCCTCAAGTTGGAGCATATATATCATTCATGCCCAACTTGAGCTTAGCAAACCGCCTCATATAGTCATATGTAATGTTTTTGTAAATATTTAAGCAAGTATGATGGGATAAAAGGGGTAACAATCTTCTAGCTTGTATAAATTATACAATCGTAGATAAAGTGGCAATCGACCTCAATATGTTTTGTTCATTCATGAAAAACAGGATTGCTAACAATGCGAATAGTCGCTTAGTTATCACAATACATAGAGAATGTCTCAGCCACTCCCCAAATGGCAAATGGTTAGGAAGTATAAGTGAATGAGGTTCGAAGAACTATTCCAAGTCGTAGAAATATTTTTTGAGTAAACTCAAGGGCATCAGTATTATATAGTGTTTACTTATGTGGGCTTGCCAAATTTAGCCCGACATTTCTCAAACACATGATCGGAGGACTACGATGTGAAGGACTCTAGATGAGTATTTCTCAAATAATTAAGGCCTCTTGATCGAGATCATGTCGTCCTGTGAAAACATGAAAAACTCGAGACAATGCACTGCACATCATCACTGGGTATAGCATCAATGGATAGTTAAGTTTCCCAATTGAAATGAGGAATCCAATTCCAATAAAACTTCGTCATAAGGAACTCTTCACATTAGCAGATAAAATATGATTTAGTTTATTTTGTGACAGGAGAAGNCCAGGAGGATAGAACAAATAAATTCTGGGAGAAAAGAATTAAGATACAGTATATAAATAGACACGGTCTACCTGCCATACGAAGATAAATCAAAAATAGATTAATTTACCTAATAAGAAGATATACACAATATTCAAATTATAGAATATATACACATATAATAGAAAACATATGCAACCTATATATAGTTACTAGTGTATACAACTAATTTTCTACAATTTAAAATAGTGTCTGTTGTGTGTTCGGTGAATCAAGAACAGAATTTCCAAATTCCAACATAATATCTTACCCCAGCCGCGAGCCCGGATGGAATATGATAATTTTCATATTCAATGACCTCCGTCCTATCAAGCAACTCATTCTCTTTTAGTAGTTGAACAAACTGATGTAAGAAGACAACCATTTTAGCAGCTGAGGGATCTTTTTCAAGTGGAAACGATTCACCTGACTTCAGAAAATAAAAGGTAAATAAAGTTATTTATACTGTAAAAGACAACGAATACTAAAGAAATAATTAAATTACTGCCTCAGCTGACTTCTGAAATCAATTTAACAAAAAAAATAAAAAGAGAGAGAATATTTTTAAGCAAAAGGCAATGAATACCAAGTAAACAATTAAGTTATTACCTCAGATAGTGATTCAAGTTGTCGGAAAAGTGAATTGAGCATGTCTAATGTCCACTTAGTGGTGTTAACAAGTCTCACACAAAGTGCCTCAGCCTTTTCAAGTTGCCCAATGTAATCCTGCTCACAAATTCAGAGAAAACAAAATTCATAGATAAAAATAAACAATGTAAGAAACTAGGGCAAACAATATTGATTGATTATAATTTCTGCAGAACTCACACAGGAAAGTTTTCTTTTAGACTTTAACTCGTCCTCAAACTCCTTCAGATTTGTGATTTTGGGACGGCACTCGTCGCAAGAGCAAGCTAGGGCGAAATCAGGGCCCGGTGAAAACAAAAGGCAATGATCTGATTGTTTCATTTCCTCTAATGCTTCCCGAAAAGCTTGGTTCGTGTCTTGCTCCTCGGCTTCAGACATTCTTGAAGCTCGATTTCGTAAGATAACGACAAGAAATTGCTTATGGAAGTTTTTGATCGAAGACCAAGAACAAATATATTGGTATTAATCGAAGAGAGATCAAGGTACATGGTTTTCCGATTTACCCTAATGTTTGGACTTTTAGTGTCAGATTGGGGTCCGGCTGTAAAATTTCAACCCTTCGATTAAGTATAAATATAAATAGATCCAAGGGTTAAAAATCATCTTACATAAAAAACACAATTACTCGCTATTTATCTCCCAAAACCTCAAAAACCTGATTTCTCCACACACACACACTCACTCTCTCTCAGTAGCCAGGGCTGCTTCACTTACCTTCCTCGCCCTCGCCCTCGCCCTCGCAACAAAAACCTTATCCGCCCCACACACACTCCACGGCCGCCGCCGCCGGCGTCGGGCGCAGCGTCGTATTCGCTTTCTTCGCCTCTTCTATCAAACATTTTCCCAAACTCGTCCTCCCACTTTCCTCCGCCGGCCTTCGCGCTAATCCAGCTTCTGGGTTCTTGAGAAACGTCGCCGTTTCGTCCGAGCTGGATGCGGATTTGTCCGAGGACGAAGGGCTCGATTTCTCCGCCGGGAGGAGCCGAGATTCTCGCCTGACTTGAAGCTTTTTGTCGGGAATTTGCCGTTTAATGTTGACAGCTCTGAGCTGGCTGGGTTGTTTGAGCAGGCTGGGAATGTCGAGATGGTTGAGGTGAGTTTTGTATTTTGTGAAATTTCCTGTTTTTATTTGGGTTTGATTTGAGTTGGTTAATTTGTGCTTGCTTTATATGAGCTGATATTGTGAAGACTGGAAAAAAGATTGATTTTTTTAAGCCTAAATTGACTCAATGTCTCTCTGTTGGATGTTCATTTGTTTACTTAATTATGAAATTGTGGGGATTGTGTCGAATATCTGAATGATAATTGCAGTTTGTTTGAGTCTTTTAAAGTCCCTCTTGTCAATTTAGCTTGGGCTGTTGTAATTTTCAAGTTATTGTGTACAGAGGAATGTTGAACGTAGAACTTCTGGTATAAAACGATGTAAAACTGTCGAATTAAGAGCGTATTGAAATATTTGCAGGTTATATATGACAAGACTACTGGAAAAAGTAGGGGTTTTGGTTTCGTGACTATGTCTACCGTCTAGAAACTGCTGTACAACAATTCAATGGCTATGTAAGCCTGTTTATCTCTTTAATTTGTATCTCTCTGTTTGTGTGTGTAGATATGAGAACTCCAAGAGCAATACTGCATTGTGAAATGTGAACCATAACCTTACTAATTATACTAATGTTTATTGTATTCTACAAATTTGTGATATATGTATATCTTTGCAATGTTTCTAGTTTTGAGAACAAACAACTATACAAGTAACCAACCCAATTGAGTATATAGTATAACTCAAATTTCAACGCAGCCCAAATTTCAGGTATTCCAAGTAAACGCTAAATTTATGATTTTTTTATCTGCAGGAACTTCACGGCCGGAGTCTGAGGGTGAATTCTGGGCCCCCACCTTCCAAGAGTGAAAACTCTTCATTCTGGGGGGGCCCAAAGTGGTTATGGTTCCGGGCCAAATCCGGGTCTGGGAAAATGGGAGGTCTCGGGGTGAGTGTGGTTTATGACAGGGAAAGTGGGAGGTCTCGGGGTTTCGGTTTCGTGAAGTATAGTTCGTCAGCCATTGAATCGTCATGGAATTTAATGGAAGACCTATTCGAGTTAGCCGAGCTGAGTCCCGCCCGAGGCGCGAGTACTAGTGACCTCTGAAATACTTGAGATTCTCTAAAGTGGTTGAATTATTGATGGAGGAGATAACAAAGAGTTGAAGCTTCATAGAAGTTCCTGATCAGTATGAGATAAGTGGAGTATTTTTGTGTGTTGAGATCCAAATCTGCAAAAAATGGGATTTCAACTCCTTCGGTTTTCGGATTGAACCTTGGATGACTTGTGCAACAAAAGGCTAAAAGGATTTGTGAAAGCTTATGAACTATTCATAATCTATGTTTGTGTTTTTCTTAGAAATGAAATTATGTAATAGTTTATCTAATACCTCTTCTAGCAGAGGAATTTTTTTTTTGGAGACAATCTGGCTTGCAGATTGTTANAAAAACTACTCCACTGTTATTCAGTAAGCAAAATCAAGAAAACCAACTATCTTGAAAGATAAACTACAGCTGAAGAAGGAAGAAGACAGGGCCATCTCTAAATTCAAGAAACAAATTAAAATCTTAAAAATCTTAGTAACATATCTATACTTATATTATATGATTTAACATTTATCAAATTTAGTAGCTGAGTCAATGGTCAACGTGAACTTTGCATTTATTATTTTCCAAATATGGCAACTTCAATGTCCTTTTCACACTATCCTCTCCTTATGTCTTTTTCACACGGTTAATTAGTCATAGATTATATAGAATTTATTTATCAAGATATCAACTGCACACGCCTATTAAGAGTCCTTATCCCATTATTTCCACCTTATAAGGAGACGATAAGGAGAGGAAAATAAGGAAACAAAATTTCTTCATAAAAAGTTGATAACTATAGCGCCGGTTTGTTATTTGTACACGCCTATTAAGAGTCCTTATCCCATTATTTCCACCTTATAAGGAGACGATAAGGAGAGGAAAATAAGGAAACAAAATTTCTTCATAAAAAGTTGATAACTATAGCGCCGGTTTGTTATTTGTACCGATTATTTCTACCGATTTTGTTATTAAAATCGACCAGGACTCCTCGATCGAGGAAAATAAGGAAAATAAGGAAACAAAATTCCCATTATTTCTACCGATTTTGTTTTCAAAAGTTGACAGATAAAAAGATTCGATAAATTTTTTACCGATGAAAAGGAATTCCATAACAACAAGACTTTCATTAACATCGATATCTCTCTATATATATACATATATATTCTATCATTACCACCATCATCACCATCGCGCATTCACCATATTACAATTACAATAGCATATTTCAGAACCAAAAAAACTCTTTCCGATGGATCAAGCATTTGGATTAATAGAAGAAATTAACAGGAGCAAAAGACCAATGCTTAAAGTCCGCATTGTAAGGATGTTTTATCAAAATAAAGGCAGCACTTTCAAGTCGCATCTCGAGCTTATTTTGCATGATCGAACGGTACAAATTTATAATCAATTTTATTTTTCTCTATTTTTTATTTAAATATCATAAAGATTACTCTTAAATTTCCCTTTTTAATTTATTTTGAAGGGAAAACGAATTACAGCATTTCTAAGAGCAGTCTACTTACCGGATTTCAAAGAGAAGTCCATTGAAGAGAACATGGTCATTCTCATACGAAACTACCAAGTTGATAGCAACCTTGGTATGTATAGATCTACGGATGCCGAGTTTAAGATAATATTAGTTTGTGATAATGAGGAGTTACCAAATAATCAAACTCATAATGTTGTGTACAAGGAAGTTTTTAATAATATATGATTGTTACCGAACTTTTTATGATTCAATAATGTTTCCATGTATTTTAATGATTTCAATTTCGATCCTAATGCACGTGAGATTATATTATTCTTTCAAATTTTACATCCCGTGCATCGCACGGGTTACATACTAGTGAGATAGAATATAGAGAAAGGTAATAGAAAGTTTAAAGAAGCAATCTGAATTTATAATGCGAAAAGGGAATTACTTAAGAGAGTTTAGAGCTGCTTGTGCTTAACCAGTTTTTTGCCACGAAAATTATAAACGTGCCTCCAAGAATCTTTGATTCAGATTGCACTCTAATGGCCAATTAACATTTAACTTTAGATCAACATGTCGAGAAACAAGGAACATAAAATTATTATGTAACATGATCACGAGTTCTAAATTTTCTATATCAGCAGAAAAAAAGGCATAAATAAAAGATGTAAGGCATAAATTGCCATAAAATTTAATTTGCACTGAAACTTATCTTTTCTCTTTCTGAGTTGCTTCTAAATGCCCAAGGGGCATTGCTCAAACTAACTCCATGACCATATGACAGATGAAAAATGAAGATATACGCAGATTCCATATGTTGAATATATTAGAAAAATATGAAGCTTTAGATTCCGAGTCGGGAAACGGGGATTCGTTTTCTTGGAAATTCACTCGATTCCTCATCCTACAACAAAAGTTGGTTCTTTATCAAAATCCATGGTCGTTCAATGCATGCTAACGCTCTTTATCATTTGAAAAAAGATTGAACCAAAAAAAAGAATTGCAATCCAAAAGGTTATTTTTTTTCCTCCATATTTCTGCTATTTTTTTCCTCTTGCTTGCTTGCAGCAGCCGCTGTTACAAGGATGTGAGATGTTGGAAGAAGATTACGAGAGTAGTTGTGGTGTTTTTTATGTAGATGATTTTTAACCCTTGGATCTATTTTTATTTATACTTAATCCAAGGGTTGAAATTTTACAGCTGGGGCTGCTGTAAGTTACTCACAGCAGCCCCCCAGACCCGCCAAATTGGGGGCATATGGCTATGGCGGAACCTTGTTGGGCCGAGTGTGGGCCTAGGCTTGCGCTAAAGTAATAATTGGAGAAAGGTAATCGGTTAACTATTTACAAAAAAATTTAAACTTGTGCTTATTTATAATACTAGAATCTCGGTTGTGCAATGACAACGGCCCACAGTACATACTATCGCCATAGTTAACTTGATGGTAATGATGTTCTAAGTCAAAGGAAAAACAATCATAGCGCTTTGTTTATTACATAGTAAATTGGTCGTTAAAGAACGAATAAGGAATGTGTGTATGTATGTATGTTTTTGCTTTGGCAGTGCAATATAATGCAATATTTACAATTAAGTGCAGCCGAGGGTCATATCTTGTTCATCGTGGATTGAATTTTGAATCGGCCAATTACCTGTATTCATCATGGAATAGATTATCGACAAGATTTTTTAGGAATCTTCTAGTTCTTCTTCTTTTATCATCGAGATTATCTTCTCCAATGGCCATCACGATCGAGGTGGGATGAGAGATTTCGTGGCAACAGATTGCAACACATTTTTTAGCGTTAGGCTAAAGAGTTCTTTATCATAGTCTGTTTTATAAAATGGATTAATTGCTCATGGTTGAACAAGAATTTGGATAATTTGTAATATGTGTTTTGGAGTACCTAGTACTTGTCCGAGGATGAAGTGACTTTTTTTTTTTCTCATATGATTATTCTTCATTTACATTTTTGTCGGCGATGATGTTGTCAGCATTATCTTTAGAATTGTGTAATGAGTTGACTCGTAGTCTTTAACGAAACATGTGACTTGATGTTGTTTCATTGATGTTGCAATTTCATTAGTTTAATCGTTCACTTGTGGTAAGGACCAAAGCAAGTGCAGTCAACTGACAACAGAAGGCTAGGAGTTTAAATTATGTTATTTTTAATTGAATTATTTATACATTAAAACTACAAGTATAAAGGTTATATTTAATGGTTGCTTTGTAACAAGAACTTATTTAATTTAAACAAAATCAAACTAGTGTGTGTCTCGTGCGATGCACGGACAGACTTATTCCTTAAAACATTTTTTTAACTTTATTTTAAATATAATTATTTATATTTAAAACATCTCATTATTGGTTTCCTAATATGCATTTTTCATAATTAATTATCATGCAAATAAAACAACTAATTAATTCATGCAAATAAAACAACTAATTAATTGACATAATTAATTCCTATAAAAAATAAGCAACTAACTAATTATCATGCATATTAGACAGGCAACCCATAAATATATCAGTCAAATGCGGAATTTTTTAATTTTTTTTTTTGAAAAATATTTTAAAAGAAAATTAAGGAGACTCCACATAACATCAGAGATGTAAAGAACTTTGAATAACAATATGAAATATTCAAACTTAAGAAGTTTAATATTTATTTAGTTATTATTAACTTATCTATATATATATATTTTTTTTTTAAAGCGTGATATGTAATCATAAAGGTTTTAGTTAAAAAATATCTATTTTATTGTCAAATTGAGCACAAATAAAAATGTGAAATATTGACACTATTTCGTTGTAATTACTTATACATAGATTAAAAAAGTTTTAGGAATGTTTGAAAACTTAACTACCTAATGAAATATTTGATTTCAAAACAATATAAATATTATAATCATATAATTTATTTACTACGTTTAAGGTTTGTAATTATCCTATAATTCTAAATTCTTTCTAATTGACCATAGTTTTCAGGTATTCTAAATCTTTAGATTATTTAAATTAAAGAGTACTTTGAGGGGGCGTTTACTTCATGGGACAGGATAGGATAAGTAAAAATATCCCTTCATATCTAAGGTTTACTTTAAGGGATTGGGACAAAATTTAAATGATGTGGCGCACATGTGGCTGCGGGCTCCACACACATATCCTCCAATTGCCGATTAATTCTGTCCCAGGGTGACCCTAGGATTTTTTTATCCCGACTTTCTGCTTACAATTTTGCCCTCAAGATTGCTAATGAAAAGCCTTAAATGCCCTTAAACATCCATTTAATTACAATAACGACCATATAAATATTAAAATCCTCAGTTTCCCTAATCTGTGTTGTGTTCGAAATTGAACAGAAGGGTTTTGAACAGAAGGGTTTGGATTCCTTTGCTCACCCAAGACAAAGAGGAGGACCTTATAAAATCTGCCATGGCAGCATTTCTTGCCAAGGAAGAGAAATCAAGAGGAAGAAAACTGAGATGAGGGGGAAAATTGAAGCTCATTTGGGACGTGTGGAGGAAGAAGCTAAGCGCCTCGCTGGAATTCATGCCGTACGTATGCAAATTTATCATTAGTACTTTTGCGTTTGTATGAGCATAGGATTTCAAGAATTGGGGCTCTGTGGCTATGTAAGAACAAATCAGATCTGAACAAGTATTTGCTAAATTAGATCTGGACAAGTATTTGCTCTCGATTCTGTCTCTAGTTGAATGATGAAGATTTCTTGCCAAATTTATCAAAAGGATTTTTTGAGTGAGTACAATGTCGGGGAAGAAAGGTGGAGTTGTTTTAAGTGCAGAAGGGTAGTGTAGTCTTTGCCTTCTTTATCATCTTAATTAATCCATGGAAATAAATGAGTGATTTTTTTAGGCAAATTCCATCCCAAAAAGTAAACAAGGGATTAAATGCTGACGTGGAAAGTGGTCTTGATTATTTTGTCTTATCCCATCCTGCAAAGTAAATGACCCCTGAATTTTTCTTTTTTAGTTTAGTAAAGTGATTTCAAAGTTTTGGGAAGATCGATAAATATTTTAATTTGTATATAATAAATGTTAAAATGAAAATAGGAAAAATATTTCCAACATCTTAAGAAATTAAAATTTAAAAG